CACATGCCTTTTACACCAACAGATCTGGGAATAACCGTGGTCGTGGATGTGATTCTAGACGCGGACGAGGAAACTACAACAACAGAAGTCAAGGAGGAGGTAACCGTAATCAATTTAGTTGGGCTTCTAATCAAAACACTGTTTTTGGCACATGCAACAGGTGTGGGATTGGTCATATCCCGTCTCATTGCCCCAATCGCGACCCTGCTCCTATGAGGATGAGACAMCCACCTTCTGCCAACTTTACAAATTACCGGTCACAAGCTTAGCTTCCGGATACTGACTCTAGCCATCATGTTGCACCGGACCTATCTAGCTTCGATAACTCTGAGGCCTACTACGGTGAGGACAACCTTCACGTTGGCAATGGTAAGGGTTTACCCATTCTACACATTGGTTCCTCACAACTTCATTCACCAAACAAAACATTTTCCCTTAAAGACATACTACACGTACCTGACATAAAACAGAACTTACTTTCTGTTCAAAAATTCTGTTTTGATAACCATGTGTACTTTGAATTTCACTCTACTTTCTTTGCTGTGAAGGACAAGTTCACACACACKATCCTCCTCACTGGTCCAAGTAATGGTGGTCTCTACTTCTTCCGTCCTCCTCAGCCTCAGYCTGTTCAGAAAATGTCGTTTTCTACCACACGTGCCTCTTCCACCATATGGCACCAAAGACTTGGACATCCACATCCACAACTTTTGAAGTCCATGTTATCTAAATATCATTTACCTTTACAAAATAAGTGTGCTAGTACTTTTTGTGATTCATGTTCTGTTGGCAAATCATCTAAACTTCATTTGTTACCATCTACTTATAAAAGTACGCACATTTTGGATTTGGTTTTCTGTGATGTATGGGGGCCCGCTCCTGTTCCTTCTTTTAATGGTCACAATTATTTTCTGTTGTGTGTTGATCATTACTCCAGATTTATGTGGATCTTTCCATTAAAATTAAAATCTGATGTTTATGCCACTTTTAAACGATTCCTCGCGATGGTTGAAAGACATTTTCAAACCAAACTGAAATCTGTCCAAATCGACTGGGGAGGCGAGTTTCGAAATCTCTCCCAATTCTTCTCTCCTCTCGGCATCACCCATCGCCTCGCATGTCCCCATACAAGCGAACAAAATGGCTTTGTTGAACGACGACATCGACATGTTGAAACGGTCTTACTTTACTTGCTCAATCCCATGTTCCACAACGGTTTTGGCATTTTGCTTTTGACACAGCAGTCTATTTTATTAATCGAATGCCATCCAGAACCAACTCAAACACCTCACCATTTGAACATGTGTTCAAACACAAACCTGATTTTTCCTTTCTTCGGGTTTTTGGATGCCAATGCTACCCTCATCTCCGTCCATACAATAAACATAAAATTGACTTCCGCTCTACATCTTGTGTGTTCCTTGGTTACA